TCTTCGCATTCATGGTTAGTGTAGCCAAATATCCTTAAAATAAACAGTGCTGAACTGGATAAAGAAATAAATATATCGGAGTCGAAATTTTCTGCTAAAATATTAATCATTTCAAATTGTGTCACTAAATAAAAAGTTTACATCTAAACAAATAACAAATAGATAAATCCATGCAACTGTTGTAGAGTCGCTAATCGTCATGCAAATACAACCTTTAAATATATTGAAACTTATCTTTTAAAATGTTCTGCCTCCCTAAATTCTCTCATTCGTGTGGATTGAAATGTGAGGACACATACATTCTGTGTATGTGCATACATATGAAAAAATGAGGACATTTTATTAGAGACATATGAAAAAGTCAGGACATCATTAGAGAGGGCGCTGTTCACTTTAAAACATTTTCTAAAGATGTATAGAAAATGTATGGGTAGAGGTAAACCTATCTAAAAGAGGTCAATTTAAAGTGAAGGCCTACGCGGGTAGAAGATAACCAAAATGGGGTTTTGTAGGCCTAGAAAATGTGAGGACACGAAATTTGTACTCACATTTTTTTTTTGTCCTCAGATGTATAGGAAAATATAGAAATTTGTCCTCACATGTATAGGAATGCACACACACATTATACATACAGTATATACATACATACATATATTCATACATACATATATAAATACATATACATATACAGTATATATATATATATATAATATAAATATATATATACATACATACATACATATATGTACATACATACATACATACATGTCTATGACACCTGTACAGAATTAAGTAGTATGAATACTTGCCCAATGTTTTTAAATATATACCAAAGATCTTATAAACACAAGATAGCGTTCTCCGCGATTTACGCGTGCAAATTCTGTAATAAGGCATGAATGGCGCCCTCTTGCTAAATTGGAAACTTTTGACCTTTGACCGCTAGCGATTTTTTTTTCCGTACTTTGACCGCTATGACTATACCGTACTGTGAACAGCAGAACAGGAACCATCTCAAATCCATGGCAACAGATAGGACGCCCTCTTCCAAAACTGATTACTTTTTCTCTTTGGTATAATAGTGCGTGAATGACGCCCTCTTGCTAAATTGGAAACTTTTGAACCTTGACCGACGCTTCTATTTGTTACGCGTAAATCGCGGAGAACGCTATCTTGTGTTTATAAGATCTTTGATATATACATTACTAGATTAAATAATATATACTAGTACATTACTAGATTATAGGCAATGTTTTAATATTTTAATTTTAAATAAATGGAGGAGGTACATGAAACATGCTGTGAAATCTAAACAAATATCTCATTACTGGGCTATCCGTCAAGTCGACTGGTTATACCATGGTTGGAATGGAATGTAATCCACTGAAAATGAAAGGCACTTTTAATCATGCCTCATCAGTCAATAGGTACACAAACGATCTTCATCACTACCATATGGACAACGGCGTCTACAAGTCTAGGTAACGATGACAGTAGCCATCCCATGGTAAATCGCGAAAAAAGAAATCCACTCTGCCCCCATTGGCATTAAATACCACTGTCGGCCTACATTTTATGTAATTAACATCTGATTTAAATCTAATATATTACGTGTACCTAGGCCTATGTGGTTGGCTACAGATAGCTAAGTGTAGAGTACGAAAAGCTAAAAAATTATATGTAAAGAAATATCATCCTAGAGCAATGCTGAAAATCTACCGTCTCAACAGAACAAAAATTCCATGTGGGACCTTGCATGCTATCATGTATCTAAACAGCAACGTCCTCGTCATCAACCACACCACAGTGCGGCAACACGAAATGCGCTGTCACTCATCGCTACAGACTGATTTGAATGTGTGGTTTAATACACATAAAAGCAACTTGTAGCCTACATTTATTTCCTGTAGTATCTGATCTAGACTATGGCCTAGGCCTACACACACATACGTACCCAGCCAGCCTAATCGTCTTCGTCAGGCCAGCCTGCATTACAGTACATTGACACGAAATGTGCTGCACACATACACTCATCGCTACTAATTTGAATATTATGTGGTTTAATACACATAAAAGCAACTTGTAGCCTACATTTCCTGTTATCTGATCTATTACACACACGTACTACCCAGCCAGCCTATAGGCCTAGTTCGTCTTCCTCTAGCTCTAGGCCAACCTGCATTACAACAGTGTACATTGTTTATCTCTCAGAGGAGAGACCACCCACCCTTGCAAGCACCACAAAACGGCTCATTCTTCGCTACCAACTAGACTCGTGCAGACGCATTTATTAGCCGCAAAGCTTACCATTCCAGGCCGTGATTGGTTGATAAACACAATGTGGAAAGGCGATTTGCAATCTGATCAATGACGAATTCGCTTTCGTAGGAAACACACAGTAGTGTTAAGAGGTATGATGTAAAAACATATTTTTTCACATATTTCCCGACAATATTTTCGCAAAAACTCTTCATACTTTAAATTCCCCAGTCCTTATCTTCCATTTTTTTTACAAGATCGGCCTAATCGCGTCACAAACGAAGGAAGAGATAGAAAAACAAATGACTTCAAAATTCACTCAGAATCATGATATAAGCCCTCTCTCTCAGAGAGTGGGCTAAAAAAAATGTAATAATATACAATAACAGTAACAAAGATTGTGTACGGTATGTTTGTATTGCAAGTATACATCAAACAAAATGCGCATGCATCTTCATGTGTACACTAGTATTTCAATTACTTTCTTCACCCCTAAAGGTTTAGTTTCAAAGGTCAGGAGTCAAGGGTAACAGAATGCTTGTGGGAGACCCTTGAACTTTACCAACCTGTTGGAGAAGGCAATCATTTTGTAGGGAAAATAAAGCATTTTTAATATCTGGAATTTCCACCTCCATGTATCTAGAGTTAGTTATTCTTAGGGACCTTGGACTCCCAGTTAGGGAATTGGCTTTACCAACGCCACTGAGGCACTCAGCCTTATAAACAGATTGAGTACATTTGCTTAGTTACAAAGGGGTGTCTTATGCAGTGGACATGTATCTAGGAGTACTGAAGTGGGGAGCGACTGATTAAAAAGGAAATGAAGGTGAAATGAGACAGCTTGAATATAACTCAAGGGGCACTAGCTGGCAAAAGAAGGTGATGCAAGGTGTCTAGTTAATTTATTTGCTTTGAAAATTTCCAGTGGGTGAGGGGGGTGACCTCCTCCCTTGAATCAACCACTGATAACATACATAAATAGCAATAATATGCAACTCCTTATTGTGTAAGGTCCCTAATAATATATAATTAAAAACCAACATACCTATTTGTAATTCACTTTTTGTGTCTTCTTTGCCATCTTTATCAGGCAACATTTCCCATTCTTATAAAAAGATAAGGATTGTAACCATGTATAGGGACCTAGCTAGCTAGCCAAAAAATAACACTATGAAAAAAAATAAATATATACATAGAGCTGAACAAGAGAGAAATTTTTATGATGAAAGTATCTGAGAAATTGGATTTTTTTAAATTATTATTAAGGATTTTTTTTTTTAAATATGACTAACAGTTAATATGACTGTTATGTTATGACATGAAAAAACCAGCACCATGACCACAAAAAAAAATTGACTTGTTAATATATTCTTATTCTCCACATTGTAATCTTTAAAATGAATAATAATAATAATAATAATAAGATTTAATAAGCGCTCATCTCCACTAAAGTGCTCAAGGCGCTTGTGAAAACCATGAAAAAGCTTATCCTTTTAAACTAAAGGCTACCAGAAAAACGACCATAACCCACATCACTGCTTCCGTTTACCAGCAATTTAAGGTGCAAAGACCGGCTAGTACATGACTTTTGTGGGCATCTAACTAAACAAATTAAAGAACAAAAAAAAAAAAAAAATCAATTCACAATAAATTAATTTCCTTGAGCAACAAAAAATAGATGTGTTTTCAGAGCACGTTTGAACAAAGCAGTCGACGAACTTGATCTTATTTCAAGAGGTAATCTGTTCCACAAACGGGGGTCGTTTACTGGAATCGACTCACTATTACTAAAGTTATGAATAAAAGTATTACAGCTTCTCTGTACTAAAGTACACAATACTGCCACATTCTTTGCTAATTACTCATTTAGTGACAGTTTGCTGGTTTTAGGATGACAAGCCTCAAATGTTAATTAAATAACTGCTGCTAATGACAATTCAAACAATAGATAAAATTCCTAAAAATAGTATAAATCGGATGAAAGGATACAGACTCTGATAGCTGTGCTGTCCATTCTTAGTAGTCTTTTAACTTTTTTCTCAATATCTGGTGATTCTATGTACTGCAAGAAGAAAGTAAAAGAATAAATATTGAAATGTATTTAAAACATCCATCTTTAATGATAAATTATTCTTGTATCCAGCACCATAGTAAAAAATTATAGTAGTGATGTTTTGCCGTATCTGACGTATTATCACACCGAATACTCAGTACATACCAGCGCCATAACCACTAGACTAACGAGCTTACGCTTAGCGACTAGTGTTGAATCCAATCCCCAAGCAGCAGCGGGTACTGCAAATGCTATTTAATGTGTGATTTTGAATTAGGAAAATATCAAAGGAGTGATGTTTTGCCCTACCTGATGTATTATTGTACCAAATACTCAGTATGTTCCCAAATACTAGTGAAAAAAATTCACAAGTGATTCGGGTGGGAATCGAACCCACGACCTTCAGGTAACTAGCCTGGTAAAATAACCACTAGACTACCGAGTCACTAGTGTTGTATCCGATCCCCAAGTGGCAATGGGCACAAGAAAATGTTATCAGAGTTAGACATACCTTTTTCTTCACTGTTTTCCTGAACCTTTGTTTTCTCACATTCTTTAGTAGAGGTGTTACTGAAAAAAAGTGTAATTTCAATTCAATTCAATTCAACATTTATTTACTTCCTTTTTTAACAGAGATAAATAATACAATACAACTTGAAGAAATTTAAAAAAATTGTTCAATAGTAAATGTGAAAACAGATGAATTTTTATAGTTCATATGAATTTAAAAGACTGATTAATCTTTTTCTTGAAGATGAATAAAGTAATCGACCTGAAAGATCAAACAATACACATATTTTACAATGGTATATGTTTATTAACTATTTGTTTCGCTTTCAACTTACGTTAATGTAGAAACTACTTGTTGACTTTGCCAGTGTTTTTTGAGGTTTTTCATATCGACCACTTCCGCTGTCTTCTCCTTAATTTGAACAAACAAGCATCTACAATCCAAAGACGTTGAAAGATGTTGTATGCCAATAGTCATGATGTGCCTATATATGGTCATGATGTGATGAATCATGACAAAATTTAGGCATATCACATTAAAAAATGGCTGTCAAAAGCTGTGCCAACAGAGACCCACCCAGAAATTTGTCCCATTTGAACAAAGGATTTAGACTATCGGTCTTCTATCATACAAAGTATGAAATTACAACACTGACAGATCAATATATAGGTACACTGCCTGCCACCACACTTCTAACAGTGCAATTCATATATAAATGAAAATACTGTGTATGAAACACCAGCTTACCTGACATATATCTGCAGTTTTGAAGAATGTTTTCTTATCAACTGTTTTATAGGATTCTAATATTGTTGGTATGTCCACCAACTGAAAAACACAAACAAAAACAATCAGTAATTTATTGTTTCAATTGCAATATAATAGTAAATGATATAAATGTGTAAAGAATGAATTATTACAATTATGATGATGATGATGGTGATTGGTGATGTGTTTCAAAGTCTTTGGTCCAATGTATGAAGGGCACAGCAGCAGAGGTCATGAGCAAGCTAAATGGATAGAGGCTTGCAGCCACCTAGGGCCCCTGGGAGGACACAAAAGGGCCAGAAGGCTAAGCCTCCTGAAGGGTCAGTGGTCATGACAATCACATGCCTTGAGTAATTGATTTCCTATGTCCCATTCTAAATACATCTATAAAATGGAGGACATTGGTTTGAAGTTTAAAAGAAAGAAAACAGCATAAAGCCCTATCCAGAAAAAACAACATGCCTATGGTTATCACATCATGACCATATTTAGGCACATCATGGCTATATATAGGCACATCATGGCTAGATGACATTGAATCATGACCATATATAGGAAAATTATGACCATAAATAGGCACATCATGGTTATATATAGGCACATCATGGCTAAATGACATCACATCATGACAATATTGAGGCACATCATGACCATATATAGGCACATCATGGCTATATATAGGTACATCATGGCTAAATGACATCACATCATGACAATATATAGGCACATCATGACCATATATAGGCACATCATGACCATATATAGGCACATCATGGCTATATATAGGTACATCATGGCTAGATGACATCACATCATGACAATATAGAGGCACATCATGACCATATATAGGCACATCATGACCATATATAGGCACATCATGGCTATATATGGCCATACAACAGTTTTGTTTTGTTTTTGACAAGGTATCAGCTGAGAATTGTGGAGTACAATTTAAAAAACAACTATAGGTCTAATAATGAATTATTGTGATGTTAAACAGACAATGTTGGCTATCAAGAAGCGAAGTTGTTTTTCATTGGGACCTTCGTCCCTTCAAGGATAGGCCTATACCATCCTAGCTAGTCTAGGCCTAGATAGGATTTTTAATTTGGTGAGATGATTTAGTATGGGGAGTTTTCAAGGCGGCGAATTTTCTAGGGGCGAGTTTGTAGAGGTGAGTTGACTGCCAACGCACCACACAACGTAAGCATGATCGAATTCGAGTCAACTCGGCACCTAGTCAACTTGGCCACAGTTTCGCGGCCCCCCCTAGTATAATACATTTTTAATTATTGTTTTAAAATGTAATAATTAGCACGTTGACATAAATAAGTTTAACTGGGTTCGTAAATACTATAGGCCTCAAAATACTGTGCCGAGATTTGGGCCGAGTTGACATTTATACCGCCCATGGTTATAGTAAAAACGCTGAATAGTAATACTCAAGCGTCTCGAGCTGACGTAGAAACATAGTAAAAACGAGCGTTGGTACCGTGTATGCCAGTCTACAACAAGCGTCGCTTAAATGAAATAATTAGCACGCTGAAATTGGCTAGTAAATAAGTTTAACTGGTTTCGTAAATAATATTGGCCTCAAAATATTGTGGCTGAGACATGGGCCGATTAAATGCAGAAATAGGAAACCTAGAAATATAGTAAAAACGCTGAATAGTAATACTTGAGCGTCGCGGACGTTGGTACGTGTAGGTTAGTCTACAAACGTCGCCTAAAGTAATTGATTTTACCTGGCAGAACGAAAGAAGAAAACTTCGCTTTTCAGTCGTCTTAGGCCCTTGTTTTTTGACAGACAATGACCTAGTTCAGAGGTCAAACTGCTGTCAAGAATATAAATTGGCTACTTAGCAGCAATTAGGCCTATACCTATGTCTAAAATAATTATTATATATACTGTATTACTATTATTAGGGGCCTAACTAGAAAGGGTAACCTACTACTGTACTCTAGAGTACTAACCCCAATAATGCCTAGCTTAACCAACCAGATAGCCTACGGCTAGGCGGCCAGAAAGTAGTATGGATGCTAACTAGGCCTAGTTGGAACACTAGCTTACCTAAGCCTACTGTAGGCCCAAGCGTTTGTCGGCCTGGGGGCATAGGCTAGAGCCTACCTACCCGCTAGGACTAGGGAGCTGCTGTACCCTGGCTAGGCTAGGCCTAGATTATTAGTTACTTATTTGTAAACGTGACCATAAGTTTCACATTTTTTTAAAAGTATGAACACTTGACTAATTTTCTCATAAGTACGTACAGAAGGCATTCGAAGAATAAAATAGTTTTCAAGCTCCGGTATAAATTACCATCTTGATACCTGTATTATATTCAACACGATGTTTGTCTATCTCACTCACTCACACACATGCATGCAGAGCAGATTGAACAGCGCCCTCTTGACGCACGAGTACCTTCTTATGATCTAATAAATCATCTTATAAGATCTCTGATCATTTTTTTTTCATATCTATTCTGTTTTAAATATTTCAAAAAGAATGTTTTAACTTTGGTTTGGATGCTATATTATTGCTGTATTTGCGATAGGATGTTATAATTGTTGGATGTTAAGCATGGACCTTTTTAACAGCTGTAAATGTAAATAGAATAATTGTAATTAGAATAATTCCTCATCTATAGTGTAATATTTTTTTTTCATTTTTTTTTTGTAATCTATTTTTTTTTTTTGCAATTTAGTTTTTTGCTGTCTTTTATTGATCCTTTTTTTAATCAAATGTTACTCTTGCAAATCTTTTGTACAGTAGTTAAAAAAGTTATATTTTTGTATTGTTATTTTTAATCATTTTCTAAGAATGACCAGAGCTTGAGAGCCAAAGTTTGTTTTTATAACTGTGGTCATTCCTTGCCATCTTGGATTTTGATTTGTATATTGTTTCATCGGCTAAATAAAGATTAAATAAATAAATAAGTTTCTGGCGTGTATTGAAATTTTACTTAGTATGCAGTGGAAATAAAATTAATAAAATGTAAAAGTACGGTAAACAATGTAGCCTTCATATACCTACAAAATGTTCGCCTTTTCATTCGGAAGTTGGAACGAAGTAATTATAAGTAAGTTAACTCAATCCCCTCAATCCAAGTTCAGTCATGTTTTTTTTTTTTTTTTTTTTTTTTTTCAAACGATTGCCGTGCTGACGTGGACATAAACATTGTTGCTTCAGGCAGATTTCTTAATTAATCATGTTTTCAAATATTCTTTGTAAATATAAAATAAGTACATCGTCAAATAATTCATCATCATCGCTCAAATTAATCGCTGTTGATGTAAAGAAAATAATACTTAATTGTTAGCACGCTTTTTCTCATAATTCTCAAATTATAATAAAGGCAATCGCACTCGAATCGAATCGAAATGCCCATAGTGTTAAAAGATTACCCCCCCCCCCCCCCCCCCCCCCTTTCACTGAAAAGTGTTAAGGGTGTCCGAAAGTATGGATTGTAACTACTGTATTACATTGGCTGTATATTTTGTATCTTGGATGCCATTTCTATGGTAAACATGGTCTTGAGTCCTGGGAAACTTTGTCAGAACATCCTGGGTCCTAGGAGTAATCAACAATTTTCAGGTGTCTTCTTGACTTATGAAATTCCATTGCGGACGAAAAGTGAGACCACCCCCTCTTAACAATATGTGGGGAGACGTGTCCCCTGCTCATGATCTGCGCCCATGGATGCATATGAATGCACATCACTTCAGCCTCAACATCGTCGGGCCTGAGCTGCCAAAATTTTGAGAATATCAACCTCTTAGCGCAAAGAAATTGCACTCGCATACCTTAAAAATATTACCAATAATTCATGTTAACAATTATTTTTCGTAATACAATTTAGGGGGTATGATCGCACCGTCTGTACCCCTGCATGCGCTCAGTTCCCCTTCTAAAATCGATTAAATAAGCCTTTGAAACCCCTAAATTGTCAAATTTTTCAGTCGGCTTTACCCCTGGACCACTTCTGAAAGATTTTGAGTATTGCCTGAACACGCCCAATTTGCTCTGGTTGGGGACATGGGAACTCCCTGTCGGGCAATTCCTGGAGCTGCTGCTGTTTTACAACCCATTAAGCACATTCATCTAGAGGTCGTGGGTTCAATTCCACCTGATTTACTTGCAACATTCATATCCAAAGTATTTTTGGATGTGCAGTGCCGAGTATACTGCAGAAGAGTATGTGAGATCGGCATAAGATAATTTACCAAGTTATATTTCATGTAAATCCCAACTGAGAGAGCGCCGTGCGACACATTCCGACGTAATATGTTGTCGGGGACAGTCTTCAGGTCATGATCATAGTAAATTTTTAATATTCTACAATGTGACCGTACTCAACGCGACAACAAATTTAAACGTGTCGGGTTGCAACGTATGACGCTTTTTGAATTGGGCTTTGAACATTATGAAACTAAAGATGCATTGAAACTTGAAACTCAGTGCTAGAGGAAACAGTAGTTTGAATTGCTTAATATGTGTATTTTATTAAATAATCAGTTATCAATTAAAAATTAAATAAGAATTGTTGAATTTTCGATAATCGTTTGTAAATTTGTAAAACAAATTGGTTTATTAAGAATTGTTTTCTTCACTATGCCATCACAAATGGTATAATATATATTGAATAATATTAATTTTAACTTTAATATAAGTAATGATATATCATTTAAATTGCATAATCAATATAAAAAACGTACATACACTATATATACATATAAGAAAGTATAATACATACTCCAAGTATTGAAATGCATGTCATTTTGTTGGGATTCAATATTATGATATTCGATATTATGTCATCATCAGGATTTCAATACTTAGAGTATGTATTATACTTTCTTATCTGAGACCTTTCGGTTTTTATATACACATTATAAAAAAAAAAAAGGTGACAATAATGTTTTCAGTATATTTTGTATTCAATATCTACAGCCCTGGATGACAGCATCAAAAGCATGCAGTTTAGTAATCGAAAGGCGAGTAAAATATAATTTCTTAATTAAAAAGTGTCCTAATGTGGTACTGTGGTGCATGTAACCATGGTAAAATTATATTCTGGTGTTATTTATTTATAATAAATAATATGTCGTTCTTATATAGCGCTTCATGACTTTACAAGGCCTCTAGGCGCTTCACATTACTACCCCGGTCATTGGTCAAACACATATGGAACACATTGAAACACCAAATTAAATTAGTAAATGAAATTATATTATCATTCCATAAATTGCAGCTAGTAATCAGCGCATGTTGTTTTGGAACCTACCAGGTACCCACTTGTACTCCTGGGTGGAGAGAGGCAACCGTAGATAAAGTGCCTTGCCCAAGGACACAAGCAATTTGCACAGCCAGATTTTCGAACCCCCGACCTCATGGTTGGGAGTCCAAGCCACAACCGGTGCTCCAACCGCTCCTTTATTTATTGCACTATTATTATCTTTAGAATGTTCCTTTACACATTTGCTACAATTTTTCCATATTTTTTCTGGTAGTATGTCTCAAGTTCTTTCTTGATATCTATTCGTTCAACTTTGTTCAGTGCTTCACTAATTGTTTCGAGATGATTTACTTCAGCTTCCTGTCTTTCTCGCCACTTTACCAACATTTCAACATAGGCGTCTTCAATTGGTGGTGAAAAGTCTGATTCAAATCGATTTATATCATATTTCTGCATCTGAAGGTTGCTGCCGAAATTTGTAAAATCTGTGCGATCAAGTTTGTCAGAGATAAACACCATGTCAATATCATCTAAGCAACCTGTAATAGAACAAAATTTCCAATAATAATACTGTGTAGACAAATCCTTTTAGGAAAAAGGCTTGCTCTATTATTTAAATGGATATTCATAAAATCAACAGCAAATCTTGATCATCAAATATTTTCCTAATAAAAAATCATAAAGATACTAAGCGAGAGATCAGTGGTCTAATAGTGGTTAAGATACCAGGATGTCATGGATTCGATTCCCACTTGAATTTTGCAAGATTTTTTCTCACAAGTATTTGGGGATGCACTAAGTGTACAAGGATTTCTCAACTATATTATAACAGGGGCCAAGTTTGTAGATCAAATCAATTTGAAGGGTCCAGTGATCATGCAAGTTTGCAAAGTGACCTAAGGTCAGGAGAAAATAATCTTGAAATATATTTATTTGTATAAAAGCGCATAAAACTTGATGCATCGGGATCGTGCTAGCAATGTTTCTCGCAGGATGTGCAAAAAAGGTATTACATTTGGAGAATAGCAGTATTTTTTTTATTAGATTTCACTAACCTTGCACTGGTGTTGGATTTTGGGGCAGATTTATACTAAGCAAGAGATCAGTGGTCTAATAGTGGTTATGATACCAGGATGTCGTGGGTCAAGCTTGTAGATCAAATCAATCAATTTGAAGGGTACAGTGATCATGCAAGTGTACAAAGTGACCAAGTTAGGAGAAAATAATCTTGAAATATATTTACAGTATTTACATAAGGGATCGTGCTAGCAATTTTTCTCAGGATGTGTGAAAATGGTAATACATTTGGAGAATAGCAGTATTTTTGTATTAGATTTTCACTAACCTTGCACAATAGATATTGAGTAAGCACATTTATGGCCTTGAATCCAGGCTACACTTAATGCACTATAGCGTTATCTGGATAGGCAAAATTATTATTTTTTTAAAATTTTTGATTTGATGACCTAGTCATTCGTCCGACGACAAGGGGTCTAGGCCTGTCCGAACGGGGGTGGAAAAATGTCCCCCACTGGCGCCACCACTGGACCACATAACGTGATGCAATGGATTTAATGTTTCTCAGCAAGTGCAAAATGGCAGAGTTCCACTAACCTTGCTCTTGCGTTGGAATTTGCGGCAGATTTATGTGGGTAATTGGTGCAACTTCTGCCTCGTTACTGTAGCCATGCTTTTCACATACACGTTGTGCAAGTTCAATAAGCTTCTGTTGCCTCAAAGCGTTCACCATGATTGGTACTTGTTGGCTCTTTGATTGGTCATCCCTCCAAGTAACCAGCACTTCCATGATGCAGTCTTCCACTTGTTTTTTGTTGTCTCTCATTTTCTTAATACTGCTCCACTTGAGTCCAAGACGCACTCCTAGTCTCCTCCATGATCCAGATTCCAGATTGTCGCAGATGAACAGCAAATCTTGATCATCAAAATTGTTTCCTAATTAAAAATCATACAGACACTAAGCTAAGATCAGTGGTTACAGTGGTTTTGATTCCAGGAGTTCGTTGGTTCGATTCCACCTGAATTACAAGTTTTTTCCTTACAAGAATTTAGGAAGCATTGAGTGTACCAGGAGTTCTGAACTACATTATAACAGGGGCCAAGTTTGTAGATTAAATCATTTTGAGGGGACCAATGATCATGCAAGTTTACAAAGTGATCTCTTTGTATAAAAGAGCATAAAGCAAGATGATTCAGAATCGTGCAAGCAATGTTTCTCAACAAGTGCGAAAATGGTAGACAAATAAATTTGGAGAATAGCAGTACTTTTATTGAATTTTTACTAACCTTTCACTGGTGTTGAAATTTGAGGCAGATTTATCTGAGTTGATGCTGACTTGTCACTGTAACAATGTTTTTCACGTACACTTTCTGCAAGTCCACCAAGCTTCTGTTGTCTCAAAGCGTTCATCATGATTGGTACTTGGCTCCTAGGTTGGTTATTCCTCCAAGTAACCAGCAATTCCATGATGCAGTCTTCGACCTGTCTGTTGTTTTTTGCTATCTTTTTTATGTCGGTCCACTTAAGTCCAAGACGCACTCCCAGTCTCCTCCATGAATCGGAATCCAGATTGTCACAGATGAACAGCAAATCTTGATCATTACAACATTTTCCTTATAGAGATTATACGAGTAAAAAACACTTAGTTGATGACGTCATTGACAATAATGTGTACTATTTTGTTACTTTGGTAACAAAATAAAAACAAGCTATAGAAAAAAAATGTGAGGTTAATTTGCTATGTATTTCCGAAATCATTAAAATACTTACCTGCTTGTTGAGTGACAAGATTCTCTTCGCTAATTTCACACTCTGACAAATCTTCAGCTAGTTGACGTAGCTTATGTTGTTTCAGAGCAGTGCACAACACTTTACGTTGATGAACATCACTACTGAGGCTGCTCTTCCAGTAATTCATCATATTTTCGGCAGCCTTATGAGTCTGCATATCATCAGCATTGAACTCGTTCACTCTTGACCACTTAAGTCCCAAACGGACACCAAACCTTCTCCAGCCGACACTCAACACGCCAGAAACTTTCACTATGGTGTCTTCATCCACTAAGTCTAACATGCAAGATAATTATTATATAGAAACCGTGATTGTCTGTAACTGACATGAGTTTTAGACACTTCATTTAAGAGGAAATTAAAACGATGGCAATGCAATTGATCTCTGGTCTCCCCAAATGTCAGTAACTTTTTCAATTTTTGTTTATGCATAATGT